GTGAATAGAGATATTGTAGAGTATCACAATCTAATAGATCTGAGGATATATTGAATACCATAACCAGCCTTCTACTTTCCCTCATCCAAAGACCACTGGATCGAAAATTCAGTCCATGAAAAATGCTCGTTTATCTTTGCAAATTTTTTAATCACAAGAGAACCTCTCGTCCTAAAGATAGTGGAGAAGAGTCAAGCTGTATGGCCCACTTTCTGAACTTCTTATTCTTTCAAGAGTTTATGACATAACCTTATTATGCTATCAGATTTTCAATATACTCTTTATAACAATGTCAAGGACAGAAATTATTTAAAAAATCAATGTGTCCTTGACTTGAATTATTTGTGTAAGCCAAGATTTTGCTTGAACTGTAATAAGTATAAAACAGAGTAATCTGGTCGATGGCAAAGTAGTCTTATTAATCAGTATTTCACTTCGATTTTTACTTAGTCAGGAAACTTATGGCGTGATGTAATAACGTGACGATGATGACGTAATAATTTCAACAAAAAACTTTGTTTAAGGAAGTCTGATTTGGTGTATGTTTCAGAAGAGCATGAAACCCATCATAACTTCGAGAAGACCAAGAAAGATAACAAAGGATTGAGCTACCTGCTCAGCAAATTTATGCGGTGTATTCACGCGGTCCACCTTTAGCAGGATTCTTCAAACAGCTTTTAACTTGGTACTACGTTTATAAGATCTTTTCTTTGCAAATCTACTGAGCATGAGTATAAAAGGGTAAGAAAATGAACGTATTTTTGTTGAACATCTTTGTGCGTGAATATTATCACTATCAAAGCTATCATAAAGTTTCTAGAAAACATTCTGCCACTGCTTGCTTGGTATGGTCTATTTTTACTAATGTCAGGTCTAATTCGACTCGCTCAACTCAATCGGTTTTCTCGAACGGTCCCATTAAGGCGCTATGGAGGATTTTTTGGTACTCGAAAGCACGATGTCGATCATTTTAGAGATTCTATGAGAGGACATCTCATTCGCGGTGAAGGTTGGACCCGATCATACCACGCATAGTGGCTGGTCATTCTCTTTTTTGTTTCAGCAGGAAGAAAGACATTTTTGCGTATCTTTACCTTGGTTGCATTACCGTGTCTAGCTATGGGCATGTGGGTGGCTTACACAGACTTTGTAGCTCGAAAGAAACATGATCGCCCAAAATATATACCCTATGCTTTTCTTAACGTCAGAAATAAGGTTCGTATTATTTTTTGGCTATGCTTCTCAACTAAGAGGCCAATAATTAAATTCAGCCCTTCCCTTGGGGAGATGGCAATCACTCGCTATTTCATAACAAGACCGAGCAGTACGTTCCCGGGGTTGGTTTTGAAGAAGAACGAAAAAAGCGCTAAAATCTCCATTTTGTGCCGTGTGACTAACATGATTTCCATATACTTGTGAAATAAATAACCGTTGCAATTTTTCAAATTTTAAAACTACTTTTTTGAGAACTTTGCCTTAATCAAATTCATAAGCAATAAGAGCTAAAACGTATTAAGATATATGGTAAATTTCTTAACTTTTTCATGTATCCAATAATTCGTGAACTGAACAAAATCATAATTCGAAGGAGTGGAGCGTGGTTTCACTTATTCAATTTTCTTTGTCTTTCAAGTTTTAGGGCAGTCATATGCGACGAAACATTTAGCATACTTCATGATCAATACTTCCTTCTCTTTCCCACTCAGGATGACTGACCCATCAAATTGCTGCTATGATCGACTAGTTTTGTCTACTTGAAAATGATTTGCTTTTGTAATTGAAATGTAGTAGCCATATTCTCGGCCAACACGTTGATGGAACGTTTCTGAGCAGGAAGACATGAAAAGCTAAAACCAAGAAGAAGAAAACAAAAAACATGCGCAATTGCTAAATACTTCTCCAATCCCTCATCTACTCGGAAGTAGATGGGAATCATGTGAAGTTTCCAGCAGAATTCTTAAAGAATTTGATTTGAAAACCTCAGCATTGATGGTTTCTCTATCTAAACCACACAAAAAGCAACTTCTTCTCTGTTTAACTGCTTGGGCAAAACTGATTTCTATACGTTGATAATTGATAATTGTGAGCGTGTTGGTTTGTACCTCTTTGCTATCATGTGCATCCAAATCCTCGACGGTAGTGCCTATTTTAGTACGCCAGAGAATTTTTTTT